AACATTTTTAGAAGGACCCCCCTTTTTTAAAAAAAATATTTTCTACCCTAAAAACTTTACTAAATTTTCAAGTGGCTTTTGCAAAATTTCTTACAAGTTCTTCCTTTAGTTTTTGAGAGTTTCTATTCTTCGTTTTTGAAAAATATCTAAAATGTTTCTCCAATTGCTCCAAATTTTTTAAAAGAGTGCTACCAAATTGAGTCCTTTTCTTTTTGAATTTTCAAAATCTATTTTTTTTTAAATTTCAAAAATTAGTTTAGTGAAAAAATAAAAAATACTCATTAATTTTTTTTGGGGGGGGCTGATATAATTTTAAATTTTCAAAATTATATTATTTAATTTTTTTTGGCCAAACTAGCTTTTAATTTTTTAATTTTTTTCAAAACTCAAGCAAAGTTTCTTGATAACTATGATATTTTAGTTGGCAGACCTTGTAATACTATTGACCAAACAAGTATCTTGCCAGCCCATTCTAGATATTACATACTTTTTATCATTTTTTTTTTATATCATATGTTATTATTTATGTGATATTTATCAATAAAAAATCATAACACATATAAGTGAGTTATTTATTATTTCTTAATTATTTGACAAATGCGAGTCAATATATTTTACTCGTAAATTTTTCTCGTATTTGATTTATTTAAACAATAATGTTATACACTTAAAAAAATTACCGAGAAAAGTATTTAGAATAGATCAAAATCATTTGAAGTGCAAACTACATTTCACTAACCGTAAATCTACACTATTTACCTTATTTTCAGAATAATTTTCAAAATAAACTTATATAATTTTAATTTTTTATTTATTTAAAATATCACATAAATAACATGGATAAAATTTTAAAACTGCTGTATAATTGGTGTCAAAGGATGGTGTCCATACATATGGGGAAATTTTAGAGGTTGGGTGTCCACTAAACCATGTGTGTGTGGCGGTGTATGAAGACAAAATGGATCACATGAGTATCTACCTCACTTTGTGTTACTATTGAACACGTCAAACCCTTTGAATAGCAAAATAGGAACTATTTTTTATATTTTATTTTTTAACACAAAAATTTTAATTAATTTTCTTGGGATATTAGCTCATACCGACTAGTATTTTTTTTTATTATTTTTTTTCATTTATCATGGTCCATAATTTGGTAGGGAAATGTATGATGTCGGCTATAGTTGAGTTCAAAAATATTATTATATAAATTAATAAAGTGCATAATTCTTTTTTTAAATTATTGAGGAAAAAATTTTTGATATCAAATCTATTATAGTAATATACTAAATGACAAGCTAATAAGTTAAAAAAAATATATATTCGTATGATTTATTAATTTTATACGTTTACTTCACACAAAATTTTCTTCTTACTTTGGTAGAGTGATGTCTTTGTTTTTTTATTAATTTTTAGGACAAATTACACTAACAGTCCTTATAGTTTAGGGCTTGTGTCACTTTAGTCTCTGACTTTTTAATCGTGACATATTTGACTCTGAATTTTAAATCTTGTTCTAAATAAGGACAATTAACATACCATTGCTTAATTTCAAGGGCAAAATTGCCAATTTTATAAAATATAAACTAATTTGACAAAAATAAATGTCAAAAAAATATTTAAAAAATTTTAAAAATTATTTTTACCCACCAAAAATAAAATTATGTAAAATTGATAAAAATTAATAAAATTACATGATTAATTTTTAAAAATTAATTTTACATGATTATCATCCAAATACATAATAAAAATTAATTTGGTAAAAAAAAAAGAAATAAATGTCTAAAAGATTTATCAATTTTATATAATTATCTTTAGTAGGTAGAAATAATTTTTAAAAATACAAAAATAATTTTTTAACATTTATATTTGTCAAATTAGTTTATATTTTATCAAATTGACGATTTTGCCCTTGAAAAATCCAATAGTATATTTCAATTGTCCTTATTTGGAACAAGATTCAAAATTCAGGGTCAAATGTGTCACAATTGAAAAGTCAGGAATCAAAAATTAGGGTGAATTACACTAACGGTCCCTATAGTTTGGGCCTTGTGCCATTTTGATCCCTGACTTTTCAAATATGACACATTTAACCCTGAATTTTGAATCTTGTTCCAAATAAGGACAATTGAAATATACTATTGGATTTTTCAAGGGCAAAATCGTCAATTTGATAAAATATAAACTAATTTGACAAAAATAAAAATCAAAAAAATATTTAAAAATTCTTAAAAATTATTTCTACCCACCAAAGATAAAATTATTTAAAATTGATAAAAATTAATTAAAATTACATAATTAATTTGTAAAAATTAATTTTACATGATTATCATCTAAATACATAATAAAAATTAATTTGGTAAAAATAAAAAATAAATGTCTAAAAGATTTATCAATTTTACATAATTTTATTTTTAGTAGGTAGAAATAATTTTTAAAAATACAAAAATAATTTTTTAACATTTATATTTGTCAAATTAATTTATATTTTATCAAATTGACGATTTTGCCTTTGAAAAATCCAATAGTATATTTCAATTGTCCTTATTTGGAACAAGATTCAAAATTCAGGGTTAAATGTGTCATATTTGAAAAGTCAGGGATCAAAATGGCACAAGGCCCAAACTATAGGGACCGTTAGTGTAATTCACCCTAATTTTTATTTTTGTAGAGTGGTGTCTTTGTTTTTTTTGAAAGATTTATTAGAAAATCCTTTTTTAATTGTTTATATTTCAATTAGTTCATAAGATATTTTTATATTCCAATAAATCTTATTATTTGAACATTTGATCTATCAAATCCTAATTCTCATATTTAAAGTATTTTATGGACATTTCTATCTTTACAAATATTTTTTGAACGTTTAATAATTTGGTGATGTGAAAATTCATATTTTATAATGTAAATATTTACATTGACATATTAATATTCACATTGAAAGTGTGAACATTCACATCACGAACATTCACACTGTAAATGCGAATATTATTAGGATTATTTTGGTAACTATATCATCCATTAGACTTATTGGAATATAAGAAAATAATATGGACTAAGTGGAACATAAATAGGTGAAACTGGATTTATGAAAAAGTGTCCCTTATTTTTTATTAATTTTTATTTTTTCTATTGAGAAGAGTGGGAAAAAAAATGAAAAAGAAACAAATAATACATGTTTTTATCTAGATTTTAATTACAAATTTGCTCAAAGTTCATTAAACACACACACAGACACACACACAAAATATTGCAATAATTATAACAGTATATTCTACAACATAAACTTTATAAATCTCAAGAGATTGCCTTAGTGGATACAACTTGAGATTTGAGAATATACTTCCTCTGTTTTGTGAGAAAAAATATTTTACCTAAGCTTATTTATGTCTTTGTAAATATTTTGACACCTTCTATACTTTTTTATATATTTAAAATGTGTCTTTTTAAAGCTTTATACTCCATTGATAAGAAATAAAATTAGAGAATAAGAGAAAAAATAATAAGGAATGGAGTGATTTCTCTTCACTTTTTGGAAGATATGTTATTTCCAATCATCTACTTTATCTATTATTATATTAAGATTTTATTCATTAAGTCAAGCAAAGCATATTGTAATTTTTCTCAATTAACACCTTTGGAAAATGTTGACTTTGCTATTTATTTTATCTTAGGAACATTGAACGTTTTCAAAAATTCTCCAACCAACTAATCTTCCTCAAATTGATACTAATAATAGCTGTTATTTACATTAACATATGTAAATCTAGTAATAGAAAATTATTAACAAAATATGCATTCTCCTTACAAATTAAAAATTGATAATCAATAAATCAAAATTAAAAGTATTCATTTCTTAACTTCTACATAGTTTTTAAAATTTATTTTTGATTCATAAATTGCGAACAAAAATTGCACCAAACACTCTAATAAATTTCTTAAAATAAAATAAAAAATTGTAAATGACTTTAGGTTGGGTTTGGAAATTATTTTTTTAGCCTTTTTTTGTTGATTTTGTTTTTTTTTTTTGGTATTTAGTTAACTATTTCAAAAATAAATATAAAAAAAACTCTTCATTTTTAAGTCTTACTAAACAAAACAAAAATAATGCTATGCACACAGAACCAAACTCAGAAACTGTTCATTCGGATGACTGGCTGGTCTACCGGCCAGAGTTTGTCGACCACAGCTATCATCTTGTTATTTGGTTGGCCGCCTAATCATCCAACCAGTCGTCCGGATGAACAATTTCTGTGTTTTGTTCTGTGTTTGATTCTCTGTGTGGATAGCATTACTGGACTAAACAAACCTAAAAAGTTTATAATAAAAAATATATATAAAAAATAAAATAAAATCAGAAGTCTACTAACGACTAGAAAAAAGGTGAACAAATTGATATTTTTTTCAATTATATTTTTATTAAAAAATTAATTTTTAGATCGATCTAATTTGAAATGTAAAAATGTTGATACACATTGTAAAAAAAATTATCTAAAAGCATTTTTTTTAAATACAATTTTTTTTAATGATTAACAAACACAAACTGCACTAAGGGCTTGTTTAGAAATTAATTTTTTTAGTGATTTAAAAAACAAAATTATGAGTTGAAAAAAAATTAAATGCTTTTAAGAATAATCTTTTTTTAGTTGTATAGAAATTGTGAAGTTTGATTTTTTATTATTTTTTTAATTTTTAACTATTTTAATAAAATAAAATTACCAAGCGGACCCAAAACGACCAATATCACTTAACAAAGACTTTTCATCTATAGTATTAAAACAAAGACTTTTCATCTAATTTAATAGTATTAAAATATATTTTTTTTTGTTATTTCAAAATCTTTTTTTTTTGTTTTTTGCCATCAATAAAAGACTTGACTGAGCAACAAGAAGAACAAGGACATCAGTTCCATTTCCTTCCTGAGGTGTTGCAAAAACTAGCTCCACATTGTTTTCAGTGAAGGACATACATACATGCCCTTCTCTCCTCTCTCTCTCTCTCTTCCATTTTTGGGGAAGAAGGGAGTATTTATAAATTCAAATTCTGGGTTTGAACTCACTGCTAATTTGCTGTGACCAAACATGGTGATTGCAACCGAAGATTTGATCAAGCAGTTTCAAACAATGATGAAAGAAAGTCAGCTTCTTCACATTCTTTGATTTTGATCTTTTTATTTTTGCTTTGATCTTTAAAACCCTCCTAAATTTCTCTGTTTTCTTTCTTGTTGCAGTTGATGAACCACACAAGATTTCCTTCAAGGTCCTCTCTCTCTCTCTCTCTCTCAACATATATGTGTGCTATGTAGATGGATCTGTTATATATTTTTGAATATCTAAATATTTGGTGAAGTGTTGATCTGTACTTGATCCTAGGTCTGATCAATCTTATCATTCTTTAATTTTCTTTGTGTGGTTATATTTAATTCCGTTTTATTTATTTATTTTTTTGCCTTCTCTTATAATTTAGTTTTTTTTTTTTTTAATTATGAATTTCAAGTTAGTTTAATTCCTAGATTTGGATTGCGTGTCTGCTGCAAAATGCTTCATCTTTGTGAATGGTTGTTCAGTTGTGGAAGTATTAAGTACTAGGGATATGATATTGAAATTAATTTCGAGGGATAATTTTCCCGGGATTGTCTAATGTTTACATTCCAAGTCTGAATTAACCAGACCCATTTCAATTTTGTGTGGATCAGTATTCGCAATACTACCTTCAACGATGGAAAGGAAATCTTTATTTTTTTTGATCGGCGAAAGGAAATCTTTATTAGCTCGTTGAAATGTTGGACTTTTGAGCTTTTTTCTTGATTTGGATCAATTAGATCACCAGAATTTAGGTAACTTGAAGTAATTATGTCTAGTTCGTACCATTGAGGGTCAGCTACAATGGTAATAAGTCAACCAAGTTCTATTCAAGAGGTCTTAAATTTAATTCCTGATGTCCTACTCGTCTAATATGTGAGGCTAGCAGGTGGTCACATATATCCCAAGTTTGCGCTCTTGGGGTGGGTCCAAAGGGCCCTACCTATGATCGGTTCTCAGTTAAAAATAAAAACTATGTCGAATTCTTGGATGTGTGACTGATATCTAATGTTATAGCTTATCATTTTCCCTTTAAGTCATTCAAGAAAGAAAAGGTGATTGGTTTTGAGATTTGAGATTATTAAAGAAACTGAAATGGTGAGTCCTCAGGAATTGATAGATTCAGGATTCAAAATTAGGTTGACATGTTCAGGCAAAGAAAGAAGTCGAAAATAGGGTCTCCTATGGCATCCTGGGCTATAAGAGGGTAGAGTATGCATGTTGTTATGTCAGAATTTGCAAGAACAAGTAGATCGTGCATAATTTAATGTTATCTAAGGCATATAAAATTGATTGTCGTTTCAGGTGGTTAGGAACAAAGTACACATTCTAGACTAGTCCCACTATTTTACACACTTAAGCTGTGATGCTTTTCATTGCTAGAATGCATGCATTCATGCTCTACAAATGGTTAATGGTTTAAGAAAGAAGAAAATTATTGTTGGTGTCAATTTCCTTGATCATATGAACATTCACTCAGTTGTAAATTTCTGTTACGTGATTGCATGTACAGAAAACTAACCATGAGTTTTGTCTTTATATCCAGAATATGCATCAAGGATATCCAGCTGAAAATTTGGTGCGGTTTCTCAAAGCAAGAGATTGGAATGTTCCCAAAGCCCATAAAATGGTTAGATGCATTTAATTTTAGTTGAAATTTTGAAACAAACTGTTGCTTTCTAACTTCATTTATGAGTTTATCTCCATTTCTCACTAATTATGCCAAACTGTCACAGCTGGTTGACTGTTTAAACTGGAGGACACAAAATGAAATTGACAATATATTAGCGGTGAGTTTTTATTTGTTACTTGAAAACCAGCTAAGCGTTTTTCACTGTTCCTAATTATTCTATTAATGTTTGAGCAGACTAGGCGATGTTGTGTGTTGATTTATAATCCAATTGTTGCATAATGCTAAATGTCCTGCTTTAGAGTATGGAGTTCTCTGTGGTCAGCCCATATTTAAGATCACTTATCAGACATATCAGTGTTATCTGCCATGCTTATAATCTTCACCACTGCTTTTGCATCTTGAAGTTTGAAAAAGTCTTTTAAGTGAACCACTTCAGATGACATTATCTGTTGTGTTGCGTCTAACATATTAGCTTGAAAACCTTGCAACAAATCTAGTAACTGAAATGGGAGAATGTGGTCTACACTGGCATATCACTTGAAGTTTCCATGAAATTCATGTTCAATTTTTACTTTTCCCAAAACAAATTCTTATGAGGGTGTTTGGCACCCAGATCTTGTGTATATTCAGTTATTAGCAAGGCTATCAAAGTTCATTTCCCTTGATTTTTGGCTACTCTTATTCGTTTTAATTATTTGTGAAAGTTGTGTTGAAGTTAAAAACTGTTAACACTTAAATTATTCAACTCATTTGAGATTTAGAACATTGAAAATGTATTCATTTTAGAAACATCATGGAAGTTCACAATAGTTTAAACCATGTGGATATGACCACCTCTTGCTCATTGGGTCATTAATGATTTACTTCGTCACTAATTTTAATTGCTTCTCATGCAGAAACCAATAATCCCCACTGATTTGTACAGAGCAGTGCGCGATTCACAGTTAATAGGAATGTCAGGTTACTCAAAAGAGGTACTCATTTAATATTTGTTGCACTGAAATCTATGTTTGCCAAAATCAGTTTACGACTCAGAATTTTTTTCCCCCTTACAAGTATAGTTAAGTTTCTCTTATTGCAAAAGGAAGATTTTAAACAAACAAGAATTGTTACATGGTGATAATGATGTGTTTCAAATCATTCTTTTAATATTTTTTCCTTACAAACTTTTCCAGGGTATCCCAGTCATCACTTTTGGTCTCAGCACATTTGACAAAGCATCTGTAAGGAAGCTTTTTTCAGCTGTCTTGATTTTGGGTTACAAATTTAGAATAAGAGTTTTACGTAATTGTGTGGGTTCATTTATGTATTTCGGCCTATAATGAATTTAATTTCCTGTTTAATAAGATACTTGTCTAATTCTTTTTTTTCAATTTAGGTTCACTACTATATTCAGTCACACATCCAGATGAATGAATATAGGGATCGTGTACTATTGGTGAGTATGGTCCCTGCAGAATTGAAATTGCTTATCCATATATCTTAGTTATAGCTTCTCTTGTTGCCTAACTAGTTGTTTGGTTGTAGCCATCTGCTACTGAGAAGTTTGGACGGCATATTAATACCTGTGTGAAGGTTCTGGATATGACTGGTCTAAAGCTTTCCGCACTAAACCAAATCAAGGTATCCCTTTGTATTGCATATTAGACACAAGGCTTTATCATTCGATATTCATTAAAAATTATTCTGAATTATGTGTCTTTTCATTCTATGTTCACTCGTAAGATTATAAAATCACTTTTTTTTAGTTAACCGTGGAAAGGTGGCTTATTTTACACAGTTCATTTCTTGGGAACCCATATTAATACTTCATGTTTGATTTCAGCTACTTACTGCTATAGCCACCATTGATGACCTGAACTATCCCGAGAAGACAGATACATATTACATTGTTAATGCACCATACATATTTTCAGCTTGCTGGAAGGTTCGTTTTTTTATCGTCATCTATAATGAAAGTTGAACTCTTTTTTCAGAATAAATCTGTCCTGGCAGCCTAAACTTGGACTTTTTGGCAGGTTGTGAGGCCTCTTCTGCAAGAAAGAACAAGGAAGAAAATTCAGCTGCTGCCAGGTAGTGGGAAAGATGACTTGTTGAAGGTATGAACACTTTTTTCTGTTTAATTTTTGCTTTCCACAAGTGCAGTGTTCATCGTATTTGCATTGGAACTGTCTTCTGTCTTCGCAATGCACATGTCTAGTTCGTTTCTCTTGTTTGATTGTTGCATGCATCGGGATGTGGAGAGATTTGATAAAGCGGGAAAGAGTCTTCCATAAATTAGGCCGTGGGAGCTACCAAACCAAACTAAGCCGCGTATCCTACTCAAGTGAGATCGACTACATAAATCCCTTTTGGCTATTCTACTGTGTCAAAGGGCTATGGGTGGATGTCATTGCTAAGCATATAGTAGTGAGCATTCAATTCTGTCCCAACCTATACATTAGGCATGGTAATTGTGCAAAAACAGGTTTAAAGTCTGCCAAAATGGAATGCCTACAAAAACAAAGGGCAAGAACCACATTTATAAACCTTGATGTGATGTGCATGCAAAATCCTTAGGTTATCATTGGTACAAGTTACCCGGTTCTCTTGGGCCGCCCCATGACCTATGTCACATGGTGCTCCGCATCACGTATGGACAGACACTCAAACAACTTGTCAATGGGTCCCACCATTTCGAGGCCCAAAAGTGAGGGCTTGCCAATGCCAAATTTGTGCTAGACTTGCTCTACTAAGAGCAGCAAACCCTAATATGAGTGGAATGGATTGCACCAAACTACTCTTTGCTTATTTTTTATTTTTTAGTCATATATGAGACTCTTGACATTGTTGATTCAATACTTGAATGTAGATAATGGATTACGAGTCTCTCCCTCATTTTTGTAAAAGAGAAGGCTCCGGATCATCTCGCCATTCTAGAAATGGAACCGCAGAGAATTGTTTCTCATTGGACCATCCCTTCCATCAACAGCTCTACAATTACATCAAGCAGCAGGCTGTGCACAAGGCGGCACCAATCAAACAGGGGTCATTCCATGTCAATTATCCTGAACCGGACCCAAAAGATGTCAAAATCGCTGAAACTATAGAATCCGAGTTTCAAAGGTTTGGGGGTCAGATTGGGGGTCAGAATGGCCTTTCCGACTCACTCCGCGGGGTTAAGATTAACAGTGATTGAAAGCTCGAGGAAAACGAAAATGAGCATTTTCAGTTACTATCTGTATTAATATATGTAGCTTTTAATACGATACAAGCAAATTGCTTGTAACTTTCACATAATAACCACCTAGGTGTGGATTAACTGTATTATTATTTATTAAAAAAAAAAAAATTGTAGGAATCACGAATCTAATTGAAAGGTTCTTAACAGCCAATTTCATTTGCTAGAAGATCTCTATTATCTAATTTTCCATTACCATTCTTAGATTTCTTAACTAAAAATTGCATAAATTGATCAAAATCATTCCTTAACAAGTTACCAACATTTCTTCTCATGCTGCATAATAAGTCGAATGAGCTTTGAACTAAACGTAAGTTGAATTTTAATAATTTGATTTTTTTCAATGCATATAAACTTATTGAGTTGGGTGGGTTGAACATTCAAACTTAACTTCAAAAGTTTACGAATTTTAAAATGTATTCAAGTTTGAATTTGTTTACCCAAAACAAAAAGAAGTGGAACCAATATAAAAAGTAAAGATTTGTGGCTAAATGCACTAGGCACTACTCTTAGACTTGTACATCTATCACTTCAATTTTTTTTTTTTGAAAAATAAATAAATAAATAAATAACCCATCAAAATGCTTCCTAATATCAAAATTGTCACCTCATTCTGATAAATAATTATGTATAAAAATTATGAAAGGATAGCATTTTTTAATACAAGTAAAGTATCCTACAGCAACATACATCTAGTGTCCAGAATGAACCTCATTTTGAAGAACAAAAAAAATCATATACATTACAAAATACACATTCAGAGATCAAGCATGCATTGAAAACCATAGAACCCCCGCATCTTAACCCTAATTTTGAACTTCTATTTTTGTGATGGTTCATCATAGCCTTCCCCCTTGAAAGCCCTGTGAAGTCTTTCCGGGCAATGCATTACAAAAGCAATAACATGGATATCTCAAACTCAGCAGACAATAGTCGGATGCTTAAGCATATAAGGCTTGTTTGGTGCAACTTCTGATTAGCTGAAAGCTAATAATTTAAAAAATAGAAGTCAAAATTACCCGTTTTCCAACTTTTCGATATTTAACTTATTTAAATTATTTCTACCTAAGAAGCTATAAGCAGAAGCTGCACTAAACAATTTGTCATAAGTTCCCAAAATATTTATAAATTTTTTTTAAAAAAAAAAAAGCTATAAACAACCCATATAAGCTGCACCAAATAGACCCTTTACCTCAACTGTTTGTAGCAGCTATATGCAAAAGCAACCGACAACGCAGCACCAATAACAGCAATGGCTGCATATGTATCCTCACGCTCCCAGCTCTCAAACCACGTTGGCGTACCACACGCCCTCTGAGTACAAGCCCCTTTACCACTATTGTTCTTGAAAATTTGTTGTCTCTTGCTCTTCTTTTCAGCTGTTAACTTTGCCTCCCTCTCGTTGAGTTTAGGACAAGCGGTCTTTTCTGGTACAGACAGATTCCGACAACAAGGTGAGCTTCCATTTTGCCAGCAACAGCTCATAACTTCAACTTCAGATCTGCATACAGCACTGGTTATCTCATTTTCTTGTGTCGGGTCATTTGTGCTTCGTTCAATGTTGGTCTTGCCGTTTAGTTGAAGCCTTAACTCCTGGGATCGCTTCTGGTCTTCTTCGGATAAACCCATCTGTCCCCTGAAGTCAGGATTCAATCAAGTCAATAATTAAGCCGATTCTTTCAATAAATAGAAGTAGATAAAATATCAAAATAGTAATGAAGTCCCCTTTTCAATACACATTCCCGTACACATCCATGACTCCATGTATTAAAATGGATATATTTAATTCCCTAGGATTCCTGAACATCTCATATCTAGATATGCGGCACCTATTCCTAAATTTTCACTCTTGACAACCAAACGCACGTGGGATGTCATTTTGGATTACCTTTCCAAATCGGAATGAGGTTGCCTGGGAATCTCATTTTGACATGCCCTTATGAGAATCTCATATTTCTGGACCATTATGTATTAGAAAGAAAGGCGAGCTAATAATGTCTAATATCTTTTAACTAATCTGAACACTTGAATGGCATTGGCACACGAATCCCTATTAATAGTAATGGAATCCCAAGAAATGGGATTCCCATTCCTTACCCATTATTCCTGCTATTGGAGAGCTTCATAATATACATTGGCGGTGTTTGGGAAAAAAAAAATTTGGGTTTTTTTATTTTTATTTTTTTCACTAAAAGACAGTTTTTGCAAAACCAAAAAAAAATAAATCCAAACAAAATATCACATCTAACTCCATAATCATTTCACTTTTTCTCTCACAAATATCACATCCAACCACAAAAAAACCCAACTATCTTCCCAAACACCAAAAAAATTTTCTCCAATAATATCCTACAACTAAAAAAACCTTCATAAAAACTCACATTGTTGGGCTGACTTCCTAACAACTCAAGCTCTTGGAATAATTGGTATCAAAGCTTGGGTTGAGGAAGGTCATGGGCTCAAGTTTTTCCATTTGTATTTGTTTCTCATTTGCATTTTGTTCTTCTCTATATATGGATATTTGCATCTCCACGTGCAAGACACATGGGGTTGCACATGAGGAAAAATATTGGATAACTTAATATACATTGTTCAACATAAATTTCCTAACCACACCTACTATGTGTCTACAAAAAAATGTATATATAAATTGAAGATCGTCCTTAATATTTTGAAAATCCTTCAAAAGCTTGAAAATTTATGACTGAACAATAACTTTTGAGCAATCCTCTAAAACCTCCCACACCTTAAAACCAAAAATGGGCATAAAAATTTGTAACATTTTGAGTGATCATACTACTACATGACTTTTACTCCCAAAATTTTAAATTTCTCTTTTGTTCAATGATAATAGAGCTGTATTCCCTGTCATTCTAAATGGTGGTGCCAACAAATCTTCTGCCAATATCCTATTATGCAATAAAGTTCATGAAAGAACCACTCTAATGTCGATCATTTTTCCAAGTCACAAAAAAAGAAGGGAAAAAAAAAAGATTAAGGAAATTACCACCAAAGCGAGTCTACAATTTCCCCTTTCCCAATATGCTGTTCAAGCAAAACAGGTACATCATCTGGGGTAACATACCCATACCTAAAGGAAATAAAACAGAATCACTTAACAATTGTTCATATTTACGATGTGATCTACAAAGAAAGAAAAAGCTTTTCTTATACTTTAAAAAACATCAGAGAACATAATGCAAGCAATACTCTAGCAAATATTTAATTCAAGAAAGAGATCAATCCATACGAATGGCCAGTAACTTCTCCATTAATATTTGATGCAAAAATGATCACATTTCCTGCATACTTATGCCCCCCAATGTGTGAGCACGGACTAACCGACACTTTACACTGAAGACCATGCAGTTTTATCTCTTCTTTGAATCGCGTAATCACTGCAGGTCCACAAACACCACAACGTCGATCTCTAGTCCCATGAGCACATACAAAGATATAGACACCCCCTAGTGCTTCAGGAGTTCCTGGAAGCCACTCGCCATCCTTCACGAGCACTTCTTCGACAAATGTGTCAACATCGAAGTGTGTCAATCTCCTGCATTTTTATGCAAAAAATTACAATCAACATTGGGAAGCAAAAATAAGATTGTGAAGAATGCCTAAAACGTAGTGAAAAAGGCAGTGCAATTAGACCTGTATCTGATCATATCAGGAAAGATTAAGACATCACCATTGGACGTCTCAGCTCCGTCATGCCCCTCACATATTGTCAAGCGGGTCTAGAGGGGAAAGGGTAAACAAGGTTAGAAAACTGTGTGCAGTGTGAAATAAACAAAGATCTTGCACAGAAAAGCATACATAAATATAAACGTAGTTAATTTCAAGGTCAAAGCAGCATTATTGACCATATAAGCTGAAAGCGAACTACTAGCATGCCATTATGTAATTTGGCTAAGTGCTTTACTTGGAAGGAAGGACTATTATCATATCAACCCTGTAAATCTAAATAAGGAGATCCATGCTACTTAACATATAATCATAAGAAAAGCTTTTTTGGATGGGTATCAGCACATTTGCTCGAGAAAATATATTTTCTCGTAGCAGTTTCCACCTGACTTCATCAGCATAACTTGAATCTTGAATAACATTAAATTTCCTTGATACTAAGACAATATAATCTGAAGTGTCCAATAAGAAAACCATCTTTGGAAGATGCTTATATTCAAAAAATATCTTTCTCTCCCTCAAATTGCTTTAATAAAAATGTCAAACTGGACTCGTATTATTGCACTAATGAATATCAACATCTATTCCACTATATCATTGATTACCACATTATTGGTCCACAATCTGCAACTCACTCCAAAATATTATAGTTGCTAGACAGTTGTACAAATAGTAAAATTTTCTGATGGCCACAAAAGCTTTGTGCTTCAGAAGTTCCAAAAAAATTATGAAAACCTTTAATTGAAGTTTATGTGACTAGTCGAAAATTAAATCTTGATAAGCTTTGAATTTCTTGAAACACAGAAAATATTATCCAAGTGCCAATAATGAATAACTCTTAGTTCACTAGGTTACCAAAAATCACAGCCCATAAAAACAGTTATCACTCATACCCCCTATACATTGAACATTTAATATCAAACTGAGGACTTAATTGGACAAATGAATTGGAAAGGGGAGCCGTTGGCTGAAATGCAGCTATAATAAGGATAAGAATATGAAATTAAGCAAGCTAAACCAACTTGAATAATCTGGCATAAACAAACCAATTTCAGTTGTTTAGAATACCCAAATCATTCTTACAATGCCAATGGACACAAATATAACTGAATAATCATAACACAACCCTAACCACCAGAACATGAAACAAGCACCACAACTTCACACACACATACACTCAGAGACAATGCTGACTGAAATACAGGAACCTTTATAACATCAAAAACTCACCCAAAATCCTTACAAATATCGACAATCCAAATCCTAAAATCACCATAAAACATAAACAATTCACTGAAACAACACAAACCCAGTTCAAATCACTCCAAAAAAAATCCAAACCCACATAAAAATTAAAGCAAAAAAAACAAAACCCACAAACCTGTTTCTTCAAATCACCCTTTCTTTGAAAGAGAGCAGCAGAGAGAAGCCTAGGCAATCGATCGAACTCAGCAGCCTCGATTCGAGGAGGCCAGTCTTGAGGGTTCTTATAACAGAGAAAGACATGTCGATCGTAGTTCTCTACAGTCCCAACCAGTGGGCTCTGCCGGAATTCGGAGGCGTCATCGAGGCCCCCGAGAAAACCCTCCTTCTGGAAGCTTCCAGAAGAGGTTCCCATTTGGGAATTAGGGTCGAGAAGGAATGGGGAACGAAGATGTTGATGGGTTTATGAATGTCAGAGGTTCGTCTCTGTTACTTGCTGCCATTCAACTGTTTGATAAAAAGAATGTGAAAAAGAAAGGCCACTTTATAGCGAGAGAGAGAGAGAGATTACTTCCAGAGAGATTACTTCCACAGATGTTGGAAGTTGAAGCGACATGACTGGTTTGTGGTGGTTGGGAGACTTTGGTCAATCAATCTGATGACCTGACACGTGTCAATCAAGGACTTTTTTTTTGGGTCTAAACTTTAAATTTTTTTCTACTTAAAGGCCCAGTTTGTTTGGTTGGATATAATATGACGTGGGATTTAGTCAGGATATATAATGAATAGGATATAAATATTGGATAGTATATCCCTCAAGTCATGTTTGTTGACTTGATATATAAGATTGGATATATATTATGCATGTTTGTTTTACAAAATATATTATGGAATATAAAAAGTAATTTTCAATATTGCCCTCATAATATTATATTAAATTAAATTAAATTAAATAATATTTTTTTTTTTTTTGATCGGAAAAAAAAGGGTTTTGTAGTGTCATTATGGTCCCATTGGCCCCTAGTCTCGGGATAGTCAGTTGCCAATTAAGAATTAACCTCTACCAAGTGACGGACCCGTCACCAGGGCACCAATGGAGGGCAACCACACGCCGCCCCGTTGGGCCCTAGCCCCGGGGTAGCCGATTGCCAGCTAGAAATTAATCCCTACCAAGTGAGGAGCCCACCACCAGGACACCAATGGAGGGCAACCACACGCCGCAGCAGAGGACAGGATTCGAGGAGAATATGAGTGTGTTCTCAAGAGAGATTTCAAACGCTCCTCCCAAAAATCGACCTTGGCTCTCGGCTAGGGAATGTGCCGCATCCTCCACCAGACCACCAACCCTGGTGGTACTTAGAGTCAGTTCAAAACTCAAATGTAAAAGATTTCTTACCAATTAAATATACTATCGTTTCAATAACTGATCTTTAAAAAAATTATTGGATTTAAGATTGAAGATCTCATCACCATATTAAAGTTCATAAGTAATTAAGGTTATTTATACTAAGAATTTTTAAATTATTGAAAAGTATCACTTTAATCCCTTAAATTATAAAAACATAAAAATAAATTTTCTAAATTATTAAAAAGTATTACGTTACCCTCTAAATAATAAAAACATACAAATATCTTTAAGTTATAAAATTATTCAAATTAGACCGTTAATGAAAAGAGTCAAAAGCAAAATACGCCAATAATTTAAAATATCAATTTGTATATTTTTATAGTTTATATGAAAGAAAAAGTGAAACTTCTCACTAATTTAAAAAATTCATCTGGTCGTTTTTAAAATTTAAAATAAAAATAATGCTTGTCAATAGTTTAGAAGAGCCTTTACAAATAACCCAAGTAATTGAAAGAACATATTGAACAGCCCCACTTGGGAGGGATTTTACCCCGTTTCCATCTTCTAAGAGCATCTCCAACGGTTCACCTAATGTTTCACCAAATCTGAGTTAAAAAATGGCCATTTCCTTAATTTGATACTTCACGCTCCAACAGTTCACCTTCATCAAATCTCATTCAGGACAACCGGATGGTCGACCGAACAGGTCGACCGGTTAGAGGAATTTTTTTTTTTTTAACCTTTCTGAACTGTTTGAACCAACCACTGAACTGTTTGAACTAACCAACGTAAACTGACCGATGTGAACTGGTAGGGGGCGACCGGTTGATTGACCGGTCGGTCGACCGGTAATCTTTATTTATTTATTTATTTATTTTTGATTTCCCTCCATTTCTGTTCCTAATTCTTTTCCTATTTGTTTTTCCCTCCATTGGTTTACCCGTAATAATTATTTTCTTCTAAAATCTCATATAAACACATTATTATTTATATGCCAGACAACTCCACAAGGATCATAGCTTAAACATAAGGATTATATCTTAAACAAAACAGAGGATAATGGATACTTTGAAATCCATGATATTTACTTCATTTCTATCATCTTCTTCTTCTTCCTCCTCCTCTGATGAGGAGTCTGATGATGAATATATGATCACACTTTTAGCAGCTTATGAGCAGAATACCAGTAGTATGCTTCAGATTCTTAAGTCAAGTGATAGCTCAAAGAAAATAGGGGGTTCTGTTGTAGGTCACAAGTATATACGCAGAGATAGAAGGCAAGGTCATGACAGATTGTTTGCAGATTATTTTGCTACAAATTCAGTGTATTCTGCTACAATATTTCGGAGACGTTTTCGAATGCGTCGTCCTTTGTATTTGCGAATTTTGAATGCAATCGAAGCACACAATTCATATTTTATTCAAAAACAAGATGCAGCTCATGTAGTTGGATTATCTGCCCTACAAAAAATGACTTCAGCGATGAGAATATTATCATACAGTGTCGCAGCAGATGCAGTTGATGATTACATACGTATTGGGGAAAGCACTGCGATTCAAAGTTTGCAACAATTTTGTTATTCAGTGATTGAAATCTTTGGAGTAGAATATCTGAGATCTCCGACACCAACTGACATTGCTAGGTTACATGCTATTGGCGAGGTTCGGGGGTTTCCGGGTATGTTGGGAAGTTTAGATTGCATGCATTGGGAGTGGAAAAATTGTCCAAAAGCATGGCAAGGTCAATACGTAGGCCATCAAAAAAAGCCAACCATTATTCTTGAAGCAGTAGCTTCTTATGACTTATGGATTTGGCATGCATTTTTTGGAATGCCTGGGTCACACAATGACTTGAATGTATTAGACCGGTCACCTTTGTTTTCTGATCTTGCCCAAGGTAAGGCTCCCCCTGTCCACTACACTATTAATGGGCATAGTTACGATATGGGTTATTACCTTGCTGATGGTATATACCCGCAATGGGCAACACTGGTTCAAACAATTTCTTCTCCCCAAGGAGCAAAGAGACAACATTTTGCAATGATGCAAGAGTCTGCCAGGAAAGATATAGAGCGGGCATTCGGAGTCCTCCAATCTCGATTCGCAATGATTTAATAGAACATATGTGGCATCTTCGCGGTGAAAACTAGATTCACCACAGAGATATTTTGTAATTTTGTTTAGTAAAGAAATAGAAGGTTGTCTTGTTTGTAATCTTCATTATGATGCACTATATTAACCAAGTAATGCAGAAGTTATGTGATTAGATATGCTATTGTGGTGATCCAATCTTCAATATTCATAATTGTTCTCTGTTCAATTTATGACAATCATCAAAATAATTTATTTCAGTATGAAAATTCTGTTTTGGAGTTCTATAATTCTGTTTTGGAGTTGCAAGTTTGCTTCACTATTGATTCCCCAATAAGTGTAGGAACACAAATATGAAATATAAAATATGACATATATGTTTTACATGAAATGAGTGTTATATGTGGATCTCATATCATGTACATCACATTTCATATGAGACATATCTGTCTAATTTGTTGAAACAAACTTTTGGGAATAGGTTTGGAATTTTTAAAAAGATTTGATGATTAAGGGTTTGGCATTTTTAAGAAGTGAGGATTTGAGCATTCAATTTTTTCATCAAATGAAGCATTCAATTCATTAAGGGTCTGGCTCGTGGGATTCATCATGCATGCCATTATTTGTGCATTCGAATAATTGCTTTTGTAAGGATTTATCTTCAATATTCATAATTGGACTGACTGCATGCATTTCAGTATGTATATTCAATGTATTTGTATGTATATTTGTTTTAAATTCAATGCATTTTCATTATTTGTGCATACATTGTGTGTGCATTATTCAATGTATTTATGCCATACATTATTTGTGCATTATTTGTGGCATCAATTATTTGTGCCATTCCGTAAATTATTGATGTTGATGCATTGAACATTCAACCTACTTTTCTGCCACATTGAACATTTAACCTACAGTCATTGTACTATATGTGGCAAATCATCTATTGAACCACCTACCATTCAGAAGATCACACCACCTACAATTCATTATATGAACCACCTATCAATTCAACCACCTATCATCCTCTATATCACCTCAACAATGCCATCACCACATTCACATTTCACATGTTTTCACTAAGGCCCTCTAACCACACACTCTACATTTTCAAGTGTGAATCCACATCATCACCAAGACAGCATCAGTAGGAACAGAGGAACAAGGCAGGATCATCAAAACAGAACAAAAAGGCAGCATTAAAAGAGCAAGGTGATTCACGGGGCAACCGGTTGGGCAATCGGTTGGGCAACCGGCCCTTTCAATTTTTTTTTTCCCCTTCCAGTGTGCATGCCACTCAATTGTTCAACTTGTTTACAGAAAACAGGAACATAATTTCACTATATGTTACTTTCATGTTTTCTAAATTAATGTAGTTTATTAAAACCTGCACCACAGAACTGAATTTTAAGTTTCACTTAATGTTACTTTCTTGTTTTGAAAATGCATGTAATTTATTAAAACCTCAACTACAGAACATGAGTTTATTTACTTTCATGTTTTGAAAATGAATGTTTTTTACTTTCATGTTTTGAAAATGAATGTAGTTTATTTAAACCTCAACCACAGAACAAGAGTTTACTTTAATGTTTTTTAAATGACATTAGTTTATTAAAACCTCAACTACAGAACAAGATTTTGATTTTTACTTCATGTTACTTTAATGTTTTTAAAATGAATATAGTTTATTAAAACCTAAACTACAGAACAAGATTTTGATTTTTACTTGATGTTACTTTGTAGTTCTATAAAATGAATGTAGTTTACGAAAACCTCAAGTACAATACTGAATTTTCAGTGTGCATGTTTTATTAAAACATGAGCTACATTCATTTGATATGTACTGAATAGAGAGTCTGCATGCTTTATACTACATTACTATGTTATTAAATTTTCAGTGGCCATGCTTCATTAAAAATACATGTCTACTTAAATTTTCAGTGGCCATGCTTCATTAAAAATACATGTCTACATTTTAATTCTAAGTTCATGTTTTCAGTAAGCATTTTAAAAGACAGTGTTTATGTTAATTACTTCATTATAGCACATTTTTATTAAAATTCAACAGATATTCACATCATGCCTAGAACTAAAAGAGTGAGAACAGAAGCTGGTGAAAGTTCTAACCCTCGACAACGCGAACAACAGCAGCCTCAAAATCAGTCATATCCTACAGATGAATTTCTCAGCGAAAGTCATGAACTAGCCTTTCAAAATTTCTCAAGCCGACCTATTGTAACAGGGAGGAGGGTCAATCTGCCACCTCAATATGATGCACTACTAGTTAGTAAACTTGAATCAATGGGATGGCTAAATTTAATTAATTTACCCCAAAAGGTATATCCACAGCTAGTATTCCTTTTTTATGTTCACCTAAGAGTTACTCATGAAGAAAATGGAAATTTTACTCTTTTGTCATATGTGAAAGGAAAGGGTGTACAGTTTGATGTTCCTACTTTGGCACGCATTATTGGAGTTGAGGTAGGTGATGAAAATACCCATTTTCAGACTGAGGTTGAGTTAGTTAATATTGTCGGTAATGGTACTGATGTATATACTACTATATGTCAGAACAGATTTACTGGAACTAGTCTACAAGCAAGACATTTAAAATCTTATCTTCGGATCCTCCACCGGTGGATTGTAGAAAATGCCACTCCGAAAAAAGGACATCATAATGCGGTCCCATATTTTAATGCCTATTTGTTATATTGTTTTGAGGTTGGGCAAAAGTTAGATTTGTCTTACATAATTATGAAAGAAATGGTGTTGGCAAATCAAGAAATGGGCCGGTCATTACTGTTTGGGGGCACTCTTGACAAAAATTTTCAAATATTTTAAGGTTCATTTTGCAAATGAAATGGAGATCAAAATCCGTTCACCCATTACGCAATATACTGTGAATCGTGCTGGTGCAGCCGCCAATTTAATGGGAAATGATAATGCTGCAGAAGATTCAGAGGATGAAGTCCCACCAGATGATGGTCCACAAGATCCTCCTGTCAATGTGATGCCATCAACTGAACCACCTCAATATTGGACTGATTTTTTGGCCATAGAAGAACAACGTTATAATCAACGCGTTGAATGGGAGCATCAAATGGCTAATCAGGTCAATTCGTTGGGTACTCAGTTTGAGACATTTTCCACTGCACAGAACTCATTAATTGAACAATTTGGTGAGTTCCGTTTGGACATTGGAAGACGTCATGACGTGGCAAACAATCGCATTAATAGAATTGAGCATCGCGTAAATGACATATACCATCACTACTTCCCTCCTCCACCACAACCAGATAATGACTGTTGATCGGTGTGCCATTATGCGTTTCCATTGTTTTGTCTTGTATTATTTTCACAACCTTTTGTTAGGTAAATTTATTTTATGAATGTACTGATTTTGTAATATTATGTGATATAAAATGATCTTACCTTGGTAATACTTTAGCACCATCTTTTCGAGCTTCACTCATACCATAATCTGTAATATGTTATTAATGTTTCTGATTACTTAAATTTGTATGAAAGTTTTTGAAAGGTGTAATGGTAACCAAAGAAAAGAATAAAGGATGTATTTATATGTAAGTAGTTATCTGTAATACTGTATGTACATGTACAACATATTCTTATTTGAGAAATCAGACAAAGGAGATTCATTGAGATGAAGATAAGACGCAGATTGAATAAAGGGTGAAATTATAAAACCTTGGAATTATAATCATCTATAACAATATGAAGATGTAGCCCTTGGACTTGATTGCGTAACAAAAGAACAACACCCATTTAGATAGTTGTAGGAAATTGTAGAAGAAAAATAAAACTATGAGCCCCTTATCTGACATATCCATGAAGAAGAATTTCATTCATGATAACTACTTAGCAATTGGTGTGTTTTGTTTTTACCAATCAATATGGTATCCAAAGAAGCAGTAGAGAATAGAACGCAACCATCTCAAGAAACAAAAACTGAGAACAAATTAATTAATTTCTAATTTTACATAAATGGAAAAGGAAAGTGAGACATTTCATATAATTGTATACAGTTTTTCCGTTTCCTTTTCCAATAGATGACACCAATAGATGAAACCAGTAAATACAGAACCTTCCAAGGCAATCTATTAGTTGTTCGAAATAAAATCTGTCGTTGAAGATCTTCGTAGTACGCCCTTTGCATTGGATTTAAATTTGTCATGTCCATTGACATAATTTTATGATCTTCATTTCGTTGTTCTCTTTCATTCATCATAGATAGGAGTTTTAGCTGTTCCTCCCTATCTTCGGCCCTTCTTCGACGGTCTGCAGCTTTCTGGTCATGGTCGATCGCCTTTTGTTCATCTCGCTCAATAATTCTAGCAGAAATAGTTGATAACACTTCAACAATTTTGGATTGGTTGGCAGCCATTTCATCAAATCTACTATCGTGGGTTGTTTGATTCTTCAACTTCTCTTTCGCTGCTTTAGTACCAATTGGTCGTGTTGATGGATTAAATGGTTCTTCGCGCAGAACATTATTATGGTTGGATTGAAATGCATCAGATTCTCCAGTTGGTGGATTAGAACATGGATAAGCATGTTGCGTACTCTTTTTGGATTGTGTTCGAAATTCATCCCACTTACAACTTCGGCGCAAAATATCCCAACATGTATCAAATGTGAAGTGCTTTTTCTGTATTGCATGATACATCCGCTTTGCTTCAGCGACCGACAAAAAAAATTACAACAATTTTAATAACAAATATACATTTAGAGAAGAAATTTGATATTTAATAACACAAATAAATGTTACCATGTCTGCCTCAGTTGTTCCACTTTGTTGCCTCAGTTGAATTTGTTCAAGAAAACCACAGAATTTATTAATTGCCTTTTGCATGGCAGACCAACGGTGAGACAAAGAAATACGGTTTCGATTTGATTCACCACTCAATTATGAATTAAAATTAACAAGTACTCGTTCCCAAAATATAACCATAGTTTGACTATTACCAGTAATGGGATCTTGAGAGACTGCTAACCAAGATCTACATAAAGTTTCATCTTCTATAATTGTAAATGCTTTACCACGAGAAACACGAGAAGTTTCTGAAATGAAATGATTATCACTGCTCTGCGTGTTCTGTTCTCGCGAAGTTTCCGACATAAAATTAATATCAGTGTTGTGCTGAAACATTTGTGATTCTTCAAACATTTGAAAATCTTCCATAATTTCAAAAAAATACAGTACATACAATATGTAAAATAGTAAAAAATATTAAAATGATATACAATCAATACTGAATCTCAGAATCAGATAATTTAGTCGGATAATATAAATTAAAGTTTCAAAGGAGAAAAATCACAGAAGAAACAAAATTCACAACATACAATGTAATGCTCTTCTCAAAATAAAATACTCTGTCATCTTGATATACAAAACTGATATATTTTATAGAACACATTATCAACGGTAAATTTTAAAAATACTCTGTTCATGCAACGGTAAATTTATTAAAACGGCTACTTTTAAAATATGTATATGAGATAACCACGGCAAATTGTCAAAAGACTCTGTCCATCCAACAGTAAATTTACTGAAATGACTAATTTTAAAATATTTATATAAAAGATAACAATTTGAATTATATTTTCAATGAAATTAAAATTTATATCACCGTTCAAATTATTCCAAATTATTCCAAGTCCACAAAATAAGCTATATCTAAAAATAAACCTATCTGAAATTCTACCTGTTCAAACCAAACCTATTGAAAGCAGTTGAAACCTACCATTCCCATGCTTAGACCGGGCGACCGAATGGTCAACCAGCCGGTCAACCGGCTGGTTGACCGGTTCATCAACAACGCTCAGGCCACGGACCAGTTCAAACCCATCAGTTCAACCAGTTCAAACCCGTCACAGTTCAAACCCGTCGCATAATCTAATGAACCGGTTGACCGGTTGGTCAACCGGCCAGGTAACCGGCTGGTTGACCGGTGTACCTCTTTCAACGGTCAGTAACAGTGATTTGGTAAAATTCCTATCTTGTTCTCAGTTTGATACTTTTTTTGCTGAATTCTTATTTTGATATTCATTTGGTGCAACGGTTGGAGCATAAAAAAGTGCATTTTTCATCAAAATTTGAATCTAATGTCAATTTTGGTTTACCGTTGGAGATGATCTAAAAAACCAAAAAAAAGGTAAATCATTTATACTGAAATCTCCAAGCAATTGTCTAGATCCTAGTCACTCTTCCTACTCTTGCAATTGCTTCCATAACTCTTTCACATTCAATATCCCTACCCAAAAACAAACAAGAAAATAACAAGAATTTAATTCCACTTCACTAAAAATGTACAAAACCAAAGCATAAGCATTGTTCCTATCAACCATTCTCAATTGCTCAAAACAGTTTGGCAAACAATATCACAGAGGCTTCTCAGCAGGCAGATAAGACGGTGATCCACCCTCGATTTGATTCTTCTTCCTGTGAAAGACGCCGCCGAGAACAGAAGTTTTCTTTTTTTCCAACTTCCGGGCAACCATGACTTTCTCGGGTGGATTCTGCTTTTGAATCCAGGGAGACGATTTCGATGACATCTCGGTTTCCACGAGAATCCGAGAAGCAGCTTCGGCTACCTTCTTTTTGTCTTCGCGCCACCTTCGTAGCTCTCCCTCCACTGCCTTCTTGGCTGCCTCGGCCATCTCCGCCCTCTTCAGTGTCTCCCGAGTCGCAACTTTCATATCATCAATTTCTTTCCAAGTCGCCTCCAACTTCTTTAGACTCTCATTTTCGCTCGCTTTAACAGCCTCTACCTGAGCCATTGCGGCAGCCACTTTCATTTCGGCTAATTTGTCCGATTCCTCAACTTTCCGGCTCAGTGCCTCAAACTCTTCTCTCGAGATTGTGATCCAGGCCTTGGACTCGGAACTTGAGGCCCGTTCCGCATTAGTTCTCTCGGACAATATTTTGATCTGATCAAGAGCTCTTGCCTCGGCTGCTTTTGCTTCTTCCGCCTCCTCCAATGCAACTCTTAGCTTCTTCTCGGTTTCTTCTAGAGCAATTCTAGAAGCTTCTGCATCCTTTTTCAACTCTTCAACTATCCTCTTCATCTCTTCTGCATCGTGTCTCGCATTTTCGCTTTCTGACGATAAGTCATTGAGGGTTGAGATCATTTTTTCCGAATGACCTCTTACTTTGGATTCTTCTGCCATGGCTGATTCAAGCTCGGACTTACTTTTCCGGAGCTTGATATGCAGATTCCCCGCTACAGATTCTGTTTCCGCTTCCATTTCCTTCACTTCAGAACGCTTTCTCTTCACATTCTCTAGCTCCAGCTTAAGCGACTCCACCGAGCTTCGCAGCGAGCTTTCCTCTTCCGCAACTTTACGAAGCGAGCTGTTAGCACCGTTCAGCTCTGAAGCAACAGTTTCAACGGAATCGAGATCCGAATCCTTCGCATTTCTCATCTCTTTTTGCAAGGCTCCAATCTCAGTCACCGTTTCAGCCAGCTTGGCCTCGAGATCTTTGGTGAGCCCAGGATTGAACTCTCTCTTCAACGCAAGCAATTTCCTCATCGACTCTTCAAGGGTAGCTTTATAAGATTGCTTCTGAACATCCTTCAAAGCAAATATCTTTGCTTGTTCTTGCTTGGCTTGCATCGTTGCAAGCTTCACCAACCCAATCGACTCCTGCACTGCCGTAATTTCCTTAGAAATCTCGCCAACTTTCTCCGCATTTGCTTTGGCCGCACGCTCCGCTTCTTTTGCTTGCTTAAAGGCATCGGCTTTTGCTTCTAGGGTTACATCACAATCCTGACGAATTTGCCTTAGCAATTGTTTTGCAGCGTCGAGTTCAGTAATTGCAGTCACATACTGTTCTCTTTTACTTTCCAAGCCTGGTTTCCAAGCACCATTACTTACCACAGGATAGCCACCACTTGTTTCTTCAAGTTGCTTTGCCCGATCTTTTGCAGCATCTGTTGCCTTGATTGCTGTCTCCTTTGAGTCAGTCACGGTTTCGATCTTTTGGGTTAGATCCTCAATTATCCTTTTAGCCTTTTCGAGTTCTAAAAGTGCTTCAGCTTTTGTAGTTTCAGCATTGTTCAGTTGTTCCTTGAGCTTATTTAACTCTTTCTGGGCCAAGTGAAGCTGTGTCTCTGTTGCTAATACTCTCTGCAGTAAGACATAAAAGTATATGTAAACTGATCAGAACCAACCAAAAGGTCAGTGAATAAATCCTCATTCATTACCCCAAGCCATAGCATAGTCTTTCAATAAGTTAGACTAAAAACAACAACACCTCTTTGAAAACATAATCCCACAAATAAAAATATACCAATTTTAGAAGGAAAAAAAAGTAAAAAACTATCATTGTCCTTGCATGAAAAGATATGTTTCCTTTTCAATTTAAAGATCACCTATCTGGGTGATCTTTTATGATGTATGAATTTTTTGTAAAAATGAAAATGCATAAGTGCCTTATCTTTTGGATTAAAAAAATCATGTTTATCTAAATCTGAATAATAATGTGAAAAATTTGTATACGTGCACAAGCATGCTACAAACTTGTGATAATAACCCGAAATACCACTTCACTAATAACTTTAAGAGGGAATTTTTAAATGAAACTAGAACGAGAACATGCAAAATTTTATTGAAATGATTCACACAACACAAGAAGAAAAATTAAGTCACTGATATAAATGTAGTACATTTTCAAAACTAGTATGAGAAATAATACCTCAGCGGAATGAGGTTTTGTCTTCTTGATGGCGGGTTTTTCTCCTGAAAAAGCGCCTTCACCAAATAAACTGACAGCATCCTTAACAGACTGAAATGGTGCCCTGGTGTCTATCTCTCCAACCTCCACCGTAGGAGAGTCTGTAGTATTTGACCGGTCTTTTGCTACCATAGTGCTTTATTTATTATTTTTTCTATACCCCAACTGTCGAGAATAATCAGAAACATTTGAACACAGAGCTAATTTAGAGAAAGGATTACCAAAACATGGATGGTTACTTTAACTGAACAATACATCAAACTCTAAAAATATGCCAAACCAAATATGATAAGGATGATCTGAAGAAATTTAAATAGCAGATACTTATGCGGCAAATGACAGCATTTATACAAATGCTCAACCCAAAAAGAGAAAAAAAGAAAAAGAAGTGAATTCAAGCAAGAAAATATACTTTCATAACAAATGAGGTTTAGTATTGGTTAAGCTCAAGAACAACCAAAGAGGTTCATACTTGAGAAATTGGCCCTGTTTGGTAGAGCTGTGGGAAAATGCTTATAGCTTATGCCTCAACAGCTTATAGTTTATAACTTTCAGCTTAAGCTGATTTCCAGCTTATTCTTAAAGCATCTTCTGCCCCACTCAAAGAATAAGCTGATTTCTGACTTCTAAAAAGCTATAAGCTATAAACTATAAGCTAAACTAAACACACCAAAATAGCTTAAATTAAGCTAAAAGCTGAATTAAGCTGTAATTAAGTTCTGCCAAACAAGCACATTGTCATGCACAATGCATATGCTTTCTCAAAGATAAATGGATTTCGCTCACTGAATTGAATTTTCATGCTCAACGTTATCATGTTGTTTGGCCAGATTTGGTGACTTACAGTGGCTCTGTTTTCTTCAGGTGCAATGAGGGATGAAGATGAAGTAATAAAGGGAGACAGGCTTGTTTTGAGGGGATTGAGGTTTCATCGGGTAAAACCTGAAGTGGAAAGTAGATCAGAAGTTTCTTGTAGATGTGGATGCCTTGGTTAGATCTTCTTCAGGCTGGTAAATCTGACTGTTTGTCTGACATTTACCGGTAAGGAATGGTTTGCATTTTCATTATAACTAGTTACAGAAGAAAAATGATTGATATATCGAATCAGAGTTCCCTTGAATTGTCCGAATTTTATAAATTGGATGACTGGCTAGATAATTGCCCGGATGACCGGTGCAACCCTTGTCAACCGCGACTGTCATTCTTATTCTTGTATGAATGGTTGGACAACCGGTATACACAAATTTGGACGATTTGGAGAAGCAAAAATTTGATAAATGTAGTATTATTCATTTACAAAATAAAGTTGTGTAGCCCATGTCAATATGAAATCATCTAGGGTGGGAGCAAATTGTGAATTGGCGTTTGAAAAATTCCCCGAATGATAAAAGTTTGTCTAGGTTTTTTTTGGCAATTTTACATATTTATAACTAGTGCTACAAATAAATTGAGCTTGCAAGCTCGGCTCGATTCGTTATGTAAACAAACGATCTTGAGTTAGCTTCGCTAGTAACACTCAGCTTGTTTAATTATTTTAAATAATAGGTTAAATATATTATTTTATGTAAGACTATTTTGAGAAGTTGGCTTTTAATCACTTTTTTTGGTTTGTAGCAAAAGCCAAAAGTTGACTTTTTTATTTTTTTTTTATTTAGGAAGTTGGTTTTTAGTTACTGGTGAAATTATAATTTTACCCCTCGTGAGTCAAAATGTGCTACATGAGTGAAGTTGTAAATATTTTAAATTAATAGAGATAATTTGATCATTTTATTGTGATTTGACATCATAAACAAATATTAATCAAAAAAGTTAAAAGTAACTTTTTACCAACTTTCTAAATCATTTGTTTCAAAAAGTCAAAAACTTAATTAAAAGTCAAAAAATTACTTTTTACCATCTTTCCAAAATAAGCAATAGGTCATTGTTTATCTTTCGTGTGGGTATAGACCCTCATTACTTCTCTCTCTCTCATGGAAACCACTTGAAAACTCTCTTCGCAGAGGAAAAGAGAAAAAAGTCATTAATTGGATAACGTTAGCTCTGCTGCAATGTCACATATAACACAAATCAAACTGATACCCATTACATGGAAGTTGGAACTGCATGTCTATTTTTAGATTCAGCAATGTTAGGTATCATGAAAATTTTGTAACTTTTAAATTACATTTAGAATAAAACACCACACACTAATCAAGGTAATTCAAGGATCATAAATTTTTCATGATCATTTTCATGATAAAATTTTCATGATCCCTAACTTTTCCCTTTTAGATTAGGCAAAAAACTTTCTTAAAAAAATTATAAGACGCATTTCAAAATCAACAATGATTCATCACACTAAAAACATCACCACTAATAGCACTAATGCATTAAAAAAGTAAAAAAAAAATAAAAAAAATGCAACTCCAAGACCAAAACATCACATCAATAATGGCGAGATCCACTGCCACCTAATTAGTGGGAGCACTAATTAGTGCTCCCAAGCATTTTTCTTTCAAAATAATGAACAAGAATACAAATAGATAGGCATTTCAATTTCATCAGAATAAACCAATATGAAATCTTTTCAGAGAAAGAAACCAAAACAGGGCCATATATACCTGATTAATCCTGTGAATTTCTTAAACCAAATTGACCAAATACAATCCAACGAGATTCTTCAAATAATGTTACTCTTCAAGATTCAAATATGCGATTTTGAATCCTAATTTGAAATCAGACAAACATCAGAGCATCAGATTAGGTAATACCTACCAGCAATTCTCAATTTCACATGACCTCAAAAAGTAAGCAATCAAGTGAACCACTAAAAAAGAAAAGAAAAGAAAAGAAAAAAAAAGCAAAGGTGGTTGAAAAAGTAGGAAAGTGAAGAAGTACAAACCTAATGATGGCTTACTCAAAAACCCTAATCAAGAGTCGTAAACCCCAGAAATCATCAAACTTCAAAACCCCCACCAAAAGCCACAGACTCTGAGAAAGGAAACATTTCTTGATTATCTTCACCGATCTTCTTACTCTCTACCAAAATTCAAAAACCCATTCTGTATCTCTCAAAACCCAACTCAAAAACACCACCAAGAAAACAGTCTTTGGACTCTGTTACACAGTCTCCAAACAATCTGGCTCAAAATTCTCCAAAACCCTTTTGCAAATTTCTACAAAAATTAAGATCAGTTTACACAAACAATGGTTTCTTGAAGAATTGAAACGGTAAAGACACAGTTTGCAGAATAGAGAGAAACTATATATATATATATATAGAGAGAGAGAGAGAGAGGAGCAGGGAGGACTTTGCTGGGCATGTGTTGTTTTGTTTTCTGTTTCTTTTGTTGAATTGGTTCAGCTTTTTTCAATCTTTCTCACTTTTTGATCGTCTTTGGCACGCACACACACTACACACCAAGTCGTACGTTTGTTTGAATGTTGTTTGTTTCGAACCTTTTTCCTAGCAAAGAATAAATCGTTGTCAGAGTATGTATGTGTATGGGTTATCTAGTATTGTTTTGTGGGGTATTGGGATGGGGTCTTCTTGTCTTGTGCACCTATTAATGGACAAGATATGTGCATATAAAAAAATAGGATTCTAGCAGCAAATGCATTAGGGTGAGAAGGAAAAAGATAATCTATGGAGATTACGATTGGATTGTTGAACTTTCAAATTCGGTGTGTGTTGGGTTGTTGCACCTATAAATTTAGAGTGTGTCAAATATAAACAAATAATTTATTATTACTTGTTCGAGTCTAAACTCAAGTGGATTTTTATTGGATTGTTGAACTTTTAAATAAGAAGTGTATTAGATTCATAAATCTTCAAATTCAAGAATGTGTCAAATTTAAACAAATAAGTTTATTTTTTATTGTTTCTTGAGATTGTGTCTCAATTGAAGTGGATTAAAATTTATTTGAGATTTACTCATTAAATAAATAAGTCAATTATAATGGGTTGATTTGATCATTAAGGTCTAGGACTTGGGCATGTATTCCCTCTAGATAAGAGTGTAAATTTGGTCCAGCCCGACTCGAGCCAACCCATGTTAATTTGTCCAGGCTTTGTCAAAATTCAGGCCTAGCCGAGCTACGAGCCAAAAAAATTAGGTTCAGGCCCAAGCCCATGCCTAAGTGCAAAGGGTATTCTAGCCTCGACCCAAGGCCTGGGTAGGCTTGAACATTTTTTTTAATATTTTTTATCAAATTTTTTTTCTTTTTCACTAAAAATGACACTGGATCGCGGGTGGATTGGGCTTTGAGTGGGCCTTAAGGGAGTTATTGGGCCGGGCCACGCAAGTCAGGCCCATGGGCAGATCGGGCTTCAAAATGATAGTGCAGGCTCAGGATCCCGAGTTGGACTCGAGATCGAGCCCACCCCAGGCCAAATTTACACCCTTACCACTAAGCCTCCGTTTGGGAAGTGGATTGGTTTTTTGACTTTTTGGTTTTTTTTGACTATTTTAGCCTAGGCTAAAAATTTTGGTTTGGGAAAGGCTTTTTGATTTTTTTTTTGTGAGAGAAGAGTGTAATGATTAAGAGTTGGATGTGATGTTTTGTTTGTTATGGCTAAAATAGCCTGTTTTGTCTTTTGTGGCTAAAATAGCCCCAAACCACCTTGCCAAACAGAGCTTTAAGGTTTTAGATTCGAAATCTCTTAGGTACAAATAATTTGTTGAGGCCAATCCATATAAAGTTTTGTCCCAACTTTAATTACGATGAGTTAGTTTCCTAGATTAATGGGTTGAGTGGGTTGGATACCGAGATCCAAAAAAAAAATATGTAAGCAAGTCGAGTTTTAGTACATTTTTAAATTCGTTGAGTTTTTACACCAAAATAACTTAGGCCATGTTTGGTTTGATTTTAAAAAATTTGTTCCAAAAAGAATTTATAAAAAATTAGTTTTGTAAAAAAAAAAATCAAAAAATCAAAAACACTTATCATTTTTATATAACTTATCTTTTTGAAGGACATAAATAATTTTTTTTTAAATTAAAAAAATATTTTTAATATTTATTTTTATTAAATTAATTTTTTTTTTAATGTTAGGGGGATCTGTATTAAATTAAAACCTCAGGGGGTGTCAATGTAATTTACCCTTTAAAGTATATGTAAAGGTTAAGGGTAAATATGTCATTTTAACTTAAAAGTTAACACCGTCAAATAATTACACTGACAAGGGAAGTTAGTGTAATTTCTCAAATGTTAAGGGGAACTGTAATAACATAAATCTCACGGGGTGTCAGTGTAATTTATCCTACAAAATATTATCATGTCACTACGTTAGTTCTGTTGCACCTGTAAGAATTTATTCTTAGTTAGACTGTCATGGACTATATTTTGTTTAGTTTGTAAAAAACAGGTTGAAAGTGATTCAGACAGTTTAACTGGTATGAGTCCAAAATTATTATTATGATTCATAAAGTTTTGGGCCATGAGTTTATTATTTTATATGTAGATATGTGATATGGAGGTATAAGGCCCGTTTTAAGTTATTTGGGTTCCTTAATGGGAGGACCAAGTAATTGTTTTGTTTAGGCTCAGTACCCTCTCCCATCCTTATTAGGGTTTACATATATTTATATATATGTAGATCAAAGGGTTGTTAGCTCTATTGAAAAAGACAACATAAAGATTAGGAGAAGGAGGGGAATAGCTGGTGTTAAGGTTTTCCAATTATGAATATCATATTCTTTCAAGAAAATAAAACTCAAGACAATAACGGAATCACATGGTATGTATCTAAGTTTATATTTTAGTAATTAATTATATTCATAGAGTTTTGATTTTTAGTATATAGATCCTATAATCTTACATGTGGATTATTTCAGCAAGTTTATTCTTACATGTGGATTATTTCAGCAAGTTTATACTAGAATCAAAATCATGATAGATTATTTCAATAAAATTATTATATATAATGATAATGAATAAATTAATATTTCTTTTACTAAATGATAAGCTGTGAGAGAGAGAGAAGAACGAGAGAGTTGAGAACGACAGAGTGAAGAGAGAGAGTTGAGAGAGAAGATAAGAGTGAAAGAGTTGAGTCAGTGAGAGAGTTGAGAGAGAATATAAGATGAAAGCAGATATTTATCTACTACAGCTAAGAATTATAAAGGCGGGGATCATCGGGGAAATTTCGGGCCGGGGTCGGGCCAGGGCCGGGGTTGAGAAGCCTATCCCCGTCCCCGGCCCGAAAATTATCAGGGATGTATTTTTCAATACCGTCCCCAGCCCTATAGGGAATAATTTTCGGGAAAAACCCTATTTATCGGGACGGGGAGGTCCGGGTCCCCGTCGGGCCGGGTTGATATTGACATCCCTAAGCTCGAGGCCCCACAATGGGCTCTTGGATCAGTTTCACTAGATTTCCTGGGCCAGCTTGTAGTCCTCTCTTGGCCTCGTCTAGTAGTTGGGCCAATATCTGGGCCATGCTTGGCCTCGTCTAGTAGTTAGCCTTCAAATATGTTTCATGACCATTCCATTATTAGCACTTCAAGGGATCATATGGACCATGTTCAAAAAAAAAAAAGGGATCTTATGGACCTGAATACATATAGGCTTAATAGACTCAATTTTATAAAAATTATTAGTGAGGTCAGTTTTTTAATTTTTTTTTTTTTTTTGTCCATTTATAATTTCTTCTGTTTTTAATAATTATCACTCCACCGAAGTGAACTACCTAAGCGCAAAAATCTAAATTATGAATGTAGTAATGTTACATCAATTAATAAATTTTAGGGTGAATTACACTAATAATCTCTGTAGTTTGGGATTTGTGTTAAATCATTTTAGTTCCTGACTTTTTCAATTATGACACATTTGACTCTGAATTTTGAATCTTGTTCCAAATAAGAACAATTGTAGATATCATTAGATTTTTCAAGAGTAAAATTGTCAATTTGATCAAATATAATCTAATTTGAGAAAAATAAATGTCAAACAAATATTTTTGAATTTTTTAAAATTATTTGTACTCACGAAAAATAAAATTATGTAAAATTGATAAATCTTGTAGACATTTATTATTTTTTGTTTACCAAATTAATTTTTATTATATGTTTGGATGATAATCATGTAAAATTAATTTTAAAAAATTAATCATGTAATTTTTATTAATTTTTATCAATTTTACATAATTTTATCATTGGTGGATAAAAATAATTTTTTAAAAATTAAAAATATTTTTTCCACATTTATTTTTGTCAAATTAGTTTATATTTTATTAAATTGATGATTTTGCCCTTAAAATTAAACAATGATATCTTCAATTGTCGTTATTTAGAACAAGATTTAAAATTCAGGGTCAAATGTGTCACAATTAAAAAGTCAGGGACCAAAGTGACACGAGTCTCAAACTATAAAGACTATTTGCATAATTTACCCTAAATTTTATAAAATTTTCATGTCACAAGTCTTCCAATAACATTTATAAATTAAATATATATATATAAAACATCGAATGATATTTTAATACCAATTTTTTACATAAAAATCATCTTCATAAATATTTTGTTTTATCATAAAAAAAATTCACATTAAATCACATGATTATATATAAAAATTTTATATAACTTGTGTAAATACAAATCACCCAAAAACTAAGAAACTAGTTAAAAGGGAGAAATTACCTTCTTCTTTTTTCTTTTTTTTTTTTCTTTTTGATTCAAATGAAAAATAAGACAAGTAGTTTAAGAGTTATACAAAGCAAAGACTAAGGGGATACTTAGTCCCTCCTCGAGCTAGCAGAAACCATATCTGCAATTAGTAAAGAAAAGACACAACTGGATGAATCCTCAAGGAAGACAAGGTGTTCTTTTTGGTTGACTCTAATGTTGGCAAGTGCATTTGGACATTGATTTGCTTATGGTGGATGCTGCATTTGTTGGAAAATTTAAATTTAAATTTACTTCAATGGTTGTGTCTCTTGAGATGAAAGGGTGTGTCCTTTTGAAGGATCACAACCTTTCTAAAGAGTCACTTAAAAGTCTTTATATTCCATGTCCCTCACTTCATTTTGGGGGGTGAATTGCCATTCTTCTTCACTTTGCATTTATTCTTCATATTTCTTGAGTCTAATTTTCCTATAAAGAGAGTTCATGCACAACGAAATTCACTAGGCTTGCAATAGTAGTGCTGCTAGTGCAAGACATTAATCGTTGTATCCTGGGAGATAGACAACCATTGAATCCTAAGCACTGGTGGGAGGACGAATTTATCTTAAAGAAATAGTGTCACGCACTCGACTCGATCAGGTTTTATCTATTTATGTGTTGTAAGTTTTGTTACATTATTTTGTCAATTTATTTCAGTTTTGGCTTTGCCCAAAAACCGTTTACATATTCTTAAATTATATTTTCCATATAGTTTGGTATTATTTTTCTAACAATCTTAAGACAGATTTTCCATGTATATAATTTTTGGGCAAATATTGTTTTGTGTATTAGAACTGTTGTTAAACAAATTTATCATTATTAAAACACTTCCAGTTATAACTTATAAATAGTTTGAATCTACCAGAAATCAATTTATTTTTGGTTGGTTACTTTAGTAACTACTTTCATACAGATTTGGAATTTGTGAAACAGTCTTTATGAACAACAGAACCAATACATGTTGTTACACTCATGGCCCTTTCATCGAATTGTGTTTTCGTGAAAGAAATTGAATTTCTTCACTGCCCATTTATTACCCAATTCGGCATTGAATTTGTTATGCGTAACAGTCCTAACTTGTGTTCTGTGTCAGTTGATGGAATTCAAATTCCGAGTCCTCTGTATATGAATGTTATAGATTTTGCTTTTGCAAGAGGTTTATCCTCTGTTGTATAATCGTGTATGTTCTCTTTATCATCTAATCTTGTCAAAATGTTTCTGTTCTTGTGTATATATATATATATATATGTAATTTGTTATATCTATCCATATATGTTTTTCTGGTTTTGTTTTATTAAAAAAAAAAAAAAACAAAAACAGATTATGGTATTCAAAAATTACAAATTGATGAGGATCTGTTGATTTGATTAATCTTAAAATCTTAAAGTTGAAGTTTAAGAAACATAGTGGGGGTTATGCTCTATGTTCTTTTAAAGTCAAGGTTTTTCAGAGTTTGAAAATTGTGAAAACATGTCTTTCAAACTTGAAGTGGTACTTGTGGAGTTGTGACTTTTTGGCATCCGAGTGCTCTCTAAAGCAAATCTTAATTACAGATCTTCTTGATTTTCGTTTATTAACATGCCTCGCTCAAGAAGTGGGAACTATAAAAAGGAAGAGCCTAAGAACAACATTGACATAATCATTTCTGAATCTTAAGTCAAGAGTTTTCGTGAGATTATGATCCGTAATAATTTTTTACTCATGATTGTTTTACTCACTCCAGTGATGTGCATTATCAAGTGATTGAGATTATTAAAAAAGGTTGATTTGTGGATGTCTGTTAATAGGTCCACAAAGATATATTTGTTTATAAGTATCTCAAGTTCCTCTTCAGGAAATGCACAAATATTTGACAAATATTTTATGGAAATTTTTCAAAAATGTGTTTTTAAATTCAAGTTATGATTTTAATTACTAAAATCTGGTATGATTTTTGGTTTGTGAATTCTTGAAACTTGAGAAAATATATAGTATATGTTATATACTTGGGTTTTTTGAATGTAATTTGATGTCATTTACATGTGCATATTAATTTGTAGTAATTCTAATTAATTTGCAATGAGTCTTATGGTGTCATATGTTGCCATGAAATCTTTTATGGGAAAAGAAAAATGTGATGTGTTAGTTTTTGACTGATTTATTTCCAGTGCTTTGTCTAAGAAATTAAACTTTATTTGAAAGTTTGTGAAATTTTTAATTAATTTGTGATTGTGATAATGACATACCAATGGATCTCTTGTGGGGTATTTTTTCGAAAAGAATATATAATCCTTTTGTTTGATTGTGATAGCAGTATTAACAATCGTTAAACAACAGAAACGTTTAAACATGATGATTGAAATAGTGGTGTCATTCCATTTAATTGGAAGTAGATTGAAGAATCTTTTATGTTGATTATTAGTTTGTTAATAATCAAGTTGATAAATTGTCATCAATCAGCTAGCAGAAACCATATCTGTAATTAGTAAAGAAAAGACAGAACTTGGTGGATCCGCAAGAAAGATTAGATGTTCTTTTTGGTTGATTCCAATGTTAACAAGAGTATATATACATTGATTTGCTTCTCTTGGAACATGGTGGATGCTGCATTTGTTGGAAAATTTAAATTTAAATTTACTTCAATGGTTGTGTCTCTTGAGATGAAAGGGTGTGTCCTTTTGAAGAATCACAACCTTTCTAAAGAGTCACTTAAAAGTCTTTATATTCTATGTCCCTCACTTCATTTTGGGGGGTGAATTGCCATTCTTCTTCACTTTGCATTTATTCTTCATATTTCCTGAGTCTAATTTTCCTATAAAGAGAGTTCATGCACAACGAAATTCACTAGGATTGCAATAGTAGTGCTGCTAGTGTAAGATATTGATCGTTGTATCTTGGGAGATAGACGTCCATTAAATCCTAAGCACTGGTGGGAGGACGAGTCTATCTTAAGGAGAGAGTGTCACACACTCGACTCGATCAAGTTTTATCTATTTATAGTTTTATCACGTTATTATATCGATTTATTTCAGTTTTGATTTTACCCAAAAATCGTTTGCATATTTTTAAATTATATTTTCCCGATAGTTTGGTACTATTTTTCTAACAATCTTAAGATAGATTCGATGTATATAATTTTTGGGCAAATATTGTTTTGTGTATTAGAACTGTTGTTAAACAGATTTATCATTGTTAAAACACTTCCAGTTATAACTTATAAGTAGTTTGAATCTACCATAAATCAATTTATTTTTGGTTGGTTACTTTAGTAACTACTTTCATACAGATTTGGAATTTGTGAAACAGTCTTTATGAACAACAGAACCAATACATGTTGTTACACTCATGGCCCTTTCATCGAATTGTGTTTTCGTGAAAGAAATTGAATTTCTTCACTGCCCATTTATTACCCAATTCGGCATTGAATTTGTTATGCGTAACAGTCCTAACTTGTGTTCTGTGTCAGTTGATGGAATTCAAATTCCGAGTCCTCTGTATATGAATGTTATAGATTTTGCTTTTGCAAGAGGTTTATCCTCTGTTGAAATTCACGAATCAGTTATTTCTGATGAACTTCTTCATTCGCTTGCAAAGGCTGGTATTCCTTTAAGGCGATTCACTCTTGCTTATTGTTCGAATTTCACATTCTTTGGAATCTTGTCGATTTTGTCCACGTACCAGTCTCTTGAATACTTGGCCTTTATAGATGTAGGGTTCCTCACTGATAAGCACATGAGTGATTTATGTCGGTATCTTTGCACTCTAATCACAATAAAGCTCAAGTTATGCTCCAAGCTAACTGATTCAACCTTCTTCACCCTTGCAAAGAACTGTCCTTTTCTGAAGGATATTGATATGGAGAGGGCAAATCTTGGGGGAGGAGATGGCACAGCAGATATTGTGAAGAACTCACGAATTATGTCACTGAATTTGGCATATAATTCAAATCTGAGTGATGAATGTCTTAGAAAACTTGCTTCAATCTGCCCCAATGTAGAGCTGCTTGACGTGTCCTCTTGTTTGGGTATAACAGAAAAAGGCGTTGCTGAATTTTTGAAGGGTGACTCCAAGATTCGGCATTTGCATATCAATGATTGTCTGGGGATTAAGAATATTGGAACTGGTTTTGAACTTCCCAAATTGGAGGTTTTGCAAGCAGCAAGGTCAGGGATTGATGATGAAGGGCTGGCAATAATAGGGAATAGATGTTGCAGGCTCTTGAATTTTGATTTGGAGGGTTGCGTGGGAGCGACGAAAGTAGGGTTAATGGAAATCTTCACGAATTGCAAAATATTGAGGGAGATAAATTTGAACGGCTGTGTTAACGTGAGTACAGTATTTGTAGATTGGATGGTGTTTTCAAAGCCATCGTTAAGGAAATTAGTCCCGCCACGTTTATCTTTGATTACTGAAAGCCAGAGGGAACTTTTCTTGCGCCATGGATGTCTTGTTTGTGATGGTTATTCTTCTAAAAGGTATGTACAGGAGTGATTCTTGATTATTTACATGACTGATAATCTTTGTAAATGACTGTTTTGAAATAATAAGATGTGTGGAGATTAATTTTGGTGTAACTCTACAAACATGGCTTGCTTTTGTAGCAGTTTGCATAGAAACCTTTATGTTTAATGCCAAAATGTCAGAGTTATTTGTTTCACTGACATTGATGACCTGAATCAGTTGTCTTAAATTTATGAGCTCATTGATGGAGACCAAGTGATACAAATAACGGTGGTGATACATGCACCAATTAATGTATTAACTAGTGTATGATTATGACATTATTATCGACCCTACTTATTAATCACATTACAAATACCAAAAACTTCTTAAATTATGCCACAGTAGTTAGTACACTAATTAGTGCATATAGCATTATTCTACAAATAATCAATAGAAGTTTTGTTGTAAAACCCGAAAAGGTTGAGGCAGCTTATACATTATGTGGGAAATCTCTTGTCCAGTACAGACATGATACAAATTGTAACTATTGTTGAAGGTTTATAAATGAGAAGTTATGCTTGTATTGACTATTTTGTTGTCTTAATTCCTAGATACAAATTTTAATGTGGGAAATCTCTTGTCCAGTACAGACATGATACAAATTTTAACTACCCACCAGTTGCTTGTAATACATCTCATCAACTAAGTCTCCATTTCCGTGTTGCTTTATCATCAAGGATCACCTCAGTTTTGCTCTTGTGAAATGCTCTGCAGTTGGTTTTGTTTAGTGCAGTGTTTTGGAAAATGCCCTGGGTGGTGGTTCTGCAGTTGGTTAAAGTAGGCTGAAGTATGCTTGTTCTTGTGAAATGCTCTGCAGTTGGTTTTGTTCAGTGCAGTGTTAATCTGAAGTATGCTTGTTCAGTGCAGTGATAATCTACCTCGGTTGAAGTCTTTTGCAATGCTCTGCAGTGTTTTGGTAGCAATTCTTTGTTTTGTGTCTGCTGCAGTTTTGCTCTTAGCTTTGTTGATTGTTTTTTGATTTCTCTTTTTGTTGGTCTCTCACCAACTAGAGGTTTGAGCTTCTTCTAGCTCTTAGCTCCTCTTTATTGATGTTCTCCATTGTACCCTGTACGTGCTTCATCAATAAAGTTTTCTTTGCCGATCAAAAAAAAAAAAAGACAGATATAACCACAAATAATTCAATACACATGCAATTAACTCAGAATTTTCTCTTAATTACTCGTTAAACATTCTTAATTAAGGATGATAGGCTAATCACAAGTAAGGATTGCTACAGTTACGCATTGGAATGCACTAGTCATGCAATCAGGGACTGTAGAATGACAGCTAGGTTCTGGAACAAACTGGGCATTCCCATCGAAACCCTTATGTCCTTCTCCCTCAACCTATCTGAGTGGGTTATTAAGCTCAATTGTTAATTCAATATCACCCACCAATCTTTTGCTCCCCTGGTTTGTTGTTTTTCCCATTGCGTGTTGTTTCATTTGGAAGAATCGTAACGCATGCGTGTTCGATCCATTTCAACCCCCTCATTTTTCTCCCTCTTTAATCATTGCCCATGCGTTTAAGTGGGAACACCTTAACCCTTATCACACGGGTAAACCACCCACTCAGATCCTTTTCAAATGAGAAACCCCCCAAACCTAGTTCCTTAAACTCAATACTCACTACAAGAAAATACACAATTGGCGACCACTTTTGCCGACTAAAAATATTTTGGTTGCCAAAAGTTGTGGAATTGGTGACCAAAGATTATGTTAGTTGGTAAAAGTACAATATTTACCTACTAAATTTTTTTAGTCGGGGTATATTAATTTTTGGCGACTAAAAAAAAATTTAGTCGCTAAAAATCTCACAATTGACGACTAAAAAAAATTTAGTTGCTAAATTTGCCACAATTGGCGACAAAAAAAATATTTTTGTCGCTGTATATATAGTTTTGGCAACTAAAATAATTTAGTCGCTGAAATAAAAATAAAAAATTATTTTTTATCTTTCGCAACCAAAAGTTTGGTCGGCAAAACCTTAATTTCAGCGACTAAAAATTATTTTGGTCGCGGTATATATAGTAAAAAATTTCGTCACTGAAGTAATTTCATTAGTGACGAAATTATTTTTCGTCACGTTGGTTTTTAGTGACAAACATTCAATGACGAAACTGGTGACGAAAATATTTCCTCACAAATATCTATAGTGACGAAATTAGCTCTTTAAAGACAAAAAAAATTCGTCATTCATGACCCAACTTGTTGTAGTGAAGTGATTGAGATTATTAAAAAATGGTTGATTTGTGGATGTCTGTTAATAGGTCCACAAAGATATATTTGTTTATAAGTTAATATCTCAAGTTCCCCTTTAAGGAAAGGCACAAATATTTGACAAATATTTTATGAAAATTTCTCAAAAATGTGTTTTTAAAATCAAGTTATGATTTTAATTACTAAAATCTGGTATGATTTTTGGTTTGTGAATTCTTGAAACTTGAGAAAATATATAGTATATGTTATATACTTGGGTTTTTTGAATATAATTTGATGTCATTTACATGTGCATATTAATTTGTAGTAATTCTAATTAATTTGCAATGAGTCTTATGGTGTCATATGTTGCCATGAAATCTTTTATGGGAAAAGAAAAATGTGATGTGTTGCTTTGTCTGGGATTTAAATTAAACTTTATTTGAAAGCTTGTGAAATTTTTAATTAATTTGTGATTGTGATGATGACATACCAATGGATCTCTTGTGAGATATAATTTCGAAAAGTATATTTCATGTGTAGATAACCCTTTTGTTTGATTGTGATAGTAGTTTTAGGCAATCATTAACACTGAAATAAATTTACACATGATATTTTCAATAATGGTGTTTGTTCCATTTAATTGAAAATAGATTGAGGAATCTTTTGTGTTGATTATTATTTGTCAATAATCAATTGAAAGTTATTTTTAAAGTAACTTTGAATTTTGTGAGATAGGATGTCTTCAGTCTTTATTTTACTTGTGTGGTAGACTTGGTTGTTAATCTTGTCCATGTCTACATATAAGAGTTTATCTTTTGAATGAGAAGAGATAATTCAATTTCTTTGTCCCAAATATTCATCAAAAATGAATTATTAGTTGTGGCAATGACACTTGTCTGGGAATGAATCATGTTTTTTGTGCTAATTTATGTACTATCACAAATGTGGGGGAAGAGAGATTAATGAGATTAAAAATTATGATTATGATTGACTTGATTATGATTGACTTGTTAATCTTGTCCATGTCTACATATGTTGTAGAGTTGACAATCATTTTATGATGTCATTAATATCATTTTGGTATGCAGTGTATTATAAATAGATGTCAATTATTTATCAAAGTATTGATAAAAATGTGAACTTATGTGTTTTGACATAAGAGGAATTCTAATTATTCTTTGAAATAATTACTAAAATTGGTGCGGTGACTGATAACTCCGTAATGAAATATTATAAGTTAAAATATTTCATGGGTGAAAGACACTTTGGTAATTGTCGTTGTAGTCACCAATACTGGATAAGACAAATAAGATAAGATGTAAATGTATTTATACAGTGATATTTATATTTCACGTTGAGATTGGAATTAAGGGTTGCAGTAAACAAAAAGAAATTAATCATGGCTAAAGAAATATTTTTGACAAAGTGTTGTGACCACAACCGGTATTAGTCATTTCTTCTTTGTGCTGCAAAAGCAAGTTATGAAGTCTAATTGTATTTTAGACAAATTAGTATTGCAATTATATTCACAAAGCAATTTACATCTTGTTATTTAGTTCAAGCACGCCAATTAATGATATATTCTGATTTATCTCAGAATTGTGGGGGAGAAATTAAGTTTCCTTGGAATGCTTAAAATGTGGGAGTGCTTTGAGAATTTTACCAAAGTAACGGTTCCGATTATAGGTCCACAAAGAATCTCAGTTCTTTCTATAGGACAAAGTTGGAGTAGACGCAAAAATGGCTTCATTAACTCCTAAGGAACAACTCTATGTTTGTTATTTAAATGGGAGTGACATAGAGCAATGATAAGTCTCGATATAATCAAAGACTTAACACCGTATGACATTTGCTTTTAGTTGTGAATATTGTCTAAGGATAATATAATGGATTCACTAACTACTCAATGATATCTAATTGAGAAGGTCAAACGGAAAAATAACGGCCGCTAAACAAAAAGTTTGATCAGAGAACAAATAAGGGAAAGTTTATCGAGGGGAATGTGATTAAAGCCTATTACATCAGAGTCATCATAATGATAACCCTACTTAGATGACTGGAGATCCCAAGAACTAAGTTCAAAGGAACAACTAAGTTATGTGTGGCTCGCCAGAAATTACTAAAGAAGTCTAACTCCTATCCATTCCTATAATGAGAGTAATATCTGCAACATGTGTTATATGCAAGAAACTTAGGGTAAGCTATGCTTTTAATGATTACTTATATCTTGAAAATCCTAGAGGGGTATCTTTTAAAAGGAGTATTTATGAGACTCGAAATAAGGATCACCTATATGAGTGTGAAAGGGCCGCTTCTATGAGAATTAATAAGGCTAAATTCTCTAAAGCACTGAAGAAACACCAGAACTTGCCCAAGGCCAAAACGGGCACAACTGTGAGAACTAAATTATGTTTGAAGATATTCTGTGTGAATTCTATTGTCTTGGCTTATGCAAACGGCTGAACAGTTCAAGGTATCACATCCACTGATTAGCCAGTAAGTCCGATAAGCTTTCACTAGGGAAGGTTCAAAGCCGAAAGCTACCTATCCCGATGCAGGATATTTTCATAATGTACTCTCTCTTTGTCTGCATGTTGTTGTATGTCCTTTCCGTAAATTTCATTCATGTGGGGGATTGTTGGAAAATTTGAATTTAAATTTACTCTAATGGTTGTGTCTCTTGAGATGAAAGGATGTGTCCTTTTGAAGGATCACAACCTTTCTAAAGAGTCACTTAAAAGTCTTTATATTCCATGTCCCTCACTTCATTTTGGAGGGTGAATTGCCATTCTTCTTCACTTTGCATTTATTATTCATATTTCCTGAGTCTAATTTTCCTATAAAGAGAGTTCATGCACAACGAAGTTCGCTAGGCTTGCAATAGTAGTGCTGCTAGTGTAAGATATTGATTGTTGTATCTTGAGAGATAGACGTCCATTAAATCCTAAGCACCGGTGGGAGGACGAGTCTGTCTTAAGGAGAGAGTGTCAAACACTCGACTCGATCAGGTTTTATCCATATATAGTTTTATCACGTTATTATATCGATTTATTTCAGTTTTGATTTTGCCCAAAAATTGTTTGCATATTTTTAAATTATATTTTTCCGATAATTTGGTACTATTTTTCTAACAGCATTTACATCTTTTTTTTCCTTATAGTTTGGTACTATTTTATCCAACATTTATGATTATTGGCTGGCTATTGTACAATTTTTGGTGAAATGCATAGGCTGCTGGAGATGCTCTTATACCATGTTCGGTTGTACAGAAAATACTACGCCGAAATTTTGTGTTTGGTTTGAGTTTTCTGAATTAAATTTTTTAAAAATTAATTTTTTTGGTTTTCGTATTTTTATATTTTTAGTGAATATTTTTTTTAATTTTAAACAGTTTTTTTACTTTTTTAGATATACATTACTTAGATGTATCTAAAAAGTAAAAAATTTGTGAAAAAATATTTTAAAAAATTAATAAATACATAAAAATACAAAAAACATATT